TTTTATTATTTATTCTACTGGCCCAAATGATCCAAAAATTTGGTGGCATACACCTAATGCAAGGTGGAAGCCTAGATGGGGAATGAATCTTTAAAGATTTTTATTATTTATTCTACTGGCCCAAATGATCCAAAAATTTGGTGGCATACACCTAATGCAAGGTGGAAGCCACATGATTTTTTTCATTTTTTTTTTTTTTATTTTTTTTTTTGCGCTAGGTCGGACATACCCTGTCCGGTCCGACGTCCGACCAGACGTCCGGTCGGACATCCCGGACGGTCAGGGGGGTCCCGGACGTCCGGCCCGGTAACCTAGAAAAAAATAAAAAATAAAAATTGTTTTTTAACTTCATTTTTATTTTAAATTTGGTAAAGAATTTCGATGTGACCCTCAGACAAAAGTTGTTCAGTTTATATTAACTTTATAACATAGTTTTTTTTCGGATTTTTTTTTTCGTTTGTTTGTTTGTTAGGACCTTCCCTGGTCCTTGCACGCCCAGGCCGTCCGGGAAAATAGGGTGACCCGGGCGGCCCGGCTGGTAGCCTAGGTTCGGAGTTAAAATGAAGCGTTCAACAATTTCAACGGAATGCTAACTTTTTCTTTACGGGTCCAAACATGTCAAAACTGAATGCACGACGTAGTACGAACTCTAAGGTTCGGAGTTAAAAAAAAGCGTTCAACAATTTCAACGGAATGCTAACTTTTTCTTTATGGGTCCAAACATGTCAAAACTGAATGCACGACGTAGTACGTACTCTAAAACACCTACATATCAGACAAAAAGAAAAACAAGAAAAAAAGCAAAAAATCTGACTCATGAGGGTGCATGTGCGTTTGAGGGAAGAAGGCAACACATGCAACTTGACGACAGAGAGACCACAGAGATGCAGAGAGGCACAAGGAACCCAAGGGCACAGATGAACAGAGGCACAAGCAAGTCAACGGCATAGACAAACGGAGGTACAAGCAGGGCTACAGACCATCGTCAATGTCGTCAGACACAACTATCTACCTGCTTTTGAATGGTGATGGTAAGGTCCTCCCCAACTGAGGATTCCGAGCAGGATCCAGGTTGCACTTTGCCAGCCACCATAAGACGGCTAAATAAGTCATACACCTGGCCAACCACAATAACACAACAAGCAATCACCATCCAGCATAATGCTACACAAGAGCAACCTCCCGACTATGAGTACCACTGTACCAGTTCTTGTACATAAATCCTGGTTTTCTCTGCACGTAAAATATGACTACGTTGCCTTAAATGGTTAAATGAACTTAAATCTCTTTCTCAGAGGAAAAAAGATCCCAGTGGTAGGTAGGATTTCGAACCCACGACCAATCAGATAACCGCCAACCGCTCTACTGCTCTAGCGCTGTGCTACTGAGTAAGGCTAACGCTCTTCTATTAAGAGTAAGGCCCCCATAGGGCCCATACCCTAATTCTTTATTATATTCATGCACAGCAGGGAGGGGGGGAAAAGCAGTAGAGTAAAACAGCAACAAAATTTACTAAAGAATATCATACATCAACTCCAATTACCTCTCTTCCTGCTCAACCGCCGACCAACCGGCCAACCACAACTGACCAACTGGCTGACTGCAGCCGACCAACTACCTAACCACGAGCAACAACCGGCCAACCACAACCAACCAACAGTGCGACCGCTCAACCAACCAATGGACTGACTGTCTGACAAACAGAGACAGCACTGTAGCCATTCCTTCTTTCATCATCGATCAATAGAGGAATTTGTCAGGCGGAAATATTGAGATTGATGACGAGCAAGAGATATAACCCGGAGAATTTTCTTCTTCACTTTTACTTTGTCACTTCACAATTCAAGGGGTGCACCTTCGGCAGGTGATCATCCCCTCCCCCCCCTCCCCCCCCCCGTGGTGTTTGTGGCCCGTTATAAAAGAAATGTCCCCTTTGTACCTGCCATTCTCTTCATGCATGCTGATGCTGTGGTTCATCCAAGGTTGAACTTTGATGACACCAGTGTCAAAGAGAGACTACAAGGGGTGTTTAAGCCTGTTTATTGTCCGTTGGTGGGATACCAGACCAGACGTGGCAAGGCACAAAGCAACCTCTTCTTCTGTATGTTACAATGTCACTGCCGCAGGGATGAGATCATCGGTTTAGTGAGTTGGGGACCAGAGGTATCTCTGAAGCTTCAGCCTGGTAGAGACAGACCTCGACAATCAATGCGGGCCAGTTAGATGAAAGCAGTACAAATGCATTGCCTATCATCGACAGACAGTCCGGCTGTGCTAATGTACCTTCAATGCATCAGTGATGTAAACATGTACAACGAAAAATCTACAAACTTCTCATCTGCAATGAATTTAATCATCGACAGACAGACCTGCTGCTTTAAACCACAACTACCTTTCGCAGCTGTAGTCTCATTTGGGAAAACGATGTATTCCAAAAAAATCGCCGCCAGGCGGCCGCTGATGTTTTACGTCGGCGGCCACCGGCCTCTGAAACGAGTGAGACCCACCCCGCGGCCGACATATGAGAAAGGTAGTGGCGGTTTCAAAGTTCACAACCAGGGTTGCATCCCTGCCGACCGCCGACCCCGACCGCCGACCATATTGCAGCCGACCAGTTGGGCCGACCGGTCGGCGGTCTGCCGACCAGTAAAAAAAAAAAAAAAAACGTCCACTGATTTTTTTTCAAATCTGAGTTGGGG